ACTATTATATTCATTAAATTCAGAATGAATAGTCCAAAGTTAACATAGACCATTACATGTGATGTATTATGCAACATACTTGGCATTCATTTTATTTCATGTACTACACATATAAATAGGGTTTTAAGGGTAGTCCAATTGATCTTATGCATTGATTTACAGAACAGAGCTCTAATTTACTTCACATTCAGCATTTGTGCCTGGTAAAACAGTAACTAACTAACATTTTCCCTCTTTCACCCTCATCTCTCCAAACTTTTTCCCTGTCTCGGCTTCCTCTAAAGAATTTTCTTATGTGCATCTATGAGTCAGTTATGTTTGTGATCATCAGTATTATTCAAAAACTTAACTTGGTCCCCATCACATACGGTCCATTCCTTTCTCATGTTTCATGTGTCAGTACATGGATTGCTACAGTGTACCAGCTATGATGTGCATATAGTATGTGTGCACAGTGGTGTACGAAGGGTGACCGCTTGTGCCTCAGGTGATATTTTGCTTTGACATTCTCGATTAGAACAAGTCAATTATTTTGCCGTTTTTATTGATCTAAATTAATCCTCTGCCAAATATAGGAGCTTGTTAAGACTCAAGTGTATGACTTTACTGGGGCACAGCAGATCAATACTGGGGCTTGTGCCCCAGTAAAGGGGTCTAATGACACTTATGCATTTTAGTATCTCTAGGCTCTTTTCATGAGAGATTATAGCAGTATATTTGTTTGTCATATTTACAATAGCTAAAGTTAAAGGAACTGAAGCCAGATTTGTTCTGCCTCCCAAAATCTCAATCACTAGAATATTTTCCAGTGCATGTCAGTGTTGTTTGCAATCCCCAGTTTTCTTGGGGGAAAAAAAGCAGATATATTCATTTTTCATTGTGAATCAGATAAATGTGAACATTTTTTCATAAAAGCATTAGAAAATCCCACAGTCGCATGTAGTTTTTACAGTTCAGTATATTCTACTTGTACAACATGGTCACATTTCTCCAGGGATAAATTATTTCAAATAAACTGCAGGTACTGTGTATGTAGCAGTGTAATACTGTATGTGGCACCACATACACATACATGTGTAGTTATATATATAAACCGAAGGCAACAAATTCAGTTACACACTTTGATACCACAGTTTCCTAATTACCCTGAATGGTCCAGTAGACCTTTATTACACCTGAGAAGAGAATGTCTAATGACTTTTGGGATTATTAGCCTCCTGGTGTGTGTCTGAGTGTGTGTCTCAACCTGCCCCCCCACGTGACTCATGTATCATATGCGGCATACGCTGTCATCTATAAATAACACCATGATGTTCTTTTACTAAGCAGGAGGGGTGGCTTGTGGCTGTGCCAGATGGATGAATGGGTGGAAGGTGTATGTGTGTGTTGTTTCCTATCTCCTCGCTTGTGTACTGTACCAGGCGGTCAGTTAAGGCACACACTCACAAAACCCCTGAGGCTGCGGAAACATTTTCTGGGAGTACACCACATTTACTCACTACCCACACACTTACCACATGCCAAATGATTTGGGGTCTCAGGTCACATAACCCTGAGAAACAACAACAACACAGCTGTTCTGCTGAGTGAGTGGACAGGCTTAGACAGCCAAATGTCAGGTAATGGTTGTAGGATCCAGTCCTTGCTACCATGCTAACTCTGAGAGACGAGGCAGTCCAAGTAACTTCAAAACAGTGCTGATTTATTCAAAGGATCACAGGTAAAATTAACATTACACGCTCAGATATCTTGCACCTCCAAACTGCACGCAGGCAGTTGTAAGATGAAAGACCCCGAACCTCAACAGGCCTATACATTATATCCCCTCAGTTGGGCTAGCCCCATACTACACAGAAACGTCAACCGAGACGTCTCTCTCACCAGCTTTGCAGCTGGTCATAGCAGTAGTCAAAACATGAAGCAAATCAACATGTAAATGTGTATGTCTGTTGGATAAGTGGTGTGTAGCTAAAAACATTCTCACGACTTCTAATACATGTCGTGACTCGAACATAAGAACATATTATGGCTAACTCTACAGTTCTACACATCATAATAATAATATTAAACATCCTGTCTGCTGACAGTCATCAACTCTTCTTTCTGGTGGCCTTGACCAGATGTACCCTGCAGCAACTCATATGCAGGCCTAAGCATTTAACAGTCTAACTATACATCCTCTCTCCACTAACATTTCTAATACATAAAGTATCTATCCAATATCTATCTGACTAAAAATATTTAACATAGGGAGGTGGAGCCCTGAGGCCCAAAGGCAACTAGACAAGTAGCTAATTATAAGTGTTTATTTTTTCAACTAATATTAAGACTCTAGAGTGTCAAAATGTCTTTTCATATTTGTGGGATTGGATTCAGAGAGCATGAAAACTTTTTTTTTCCTGTAGAAATTCTCTTAAAAGTCCTGGGTTCAAGCTCCCTGTCATGCTGAAGTGTTTGTTAACCAGACCATACTTAATGGCCACCTGACCAAATGTAAGTCCAATATTCGCTGCTAGTTGAGCTCTGTTTTGGTCTCCACCAGCGTCTCTGCTATGCTCATCAGCTAGTTGCTCTGTTTGTGAGTCTGGGTGCTCCTGTTTCCTCCTACAATCCAAAGACATGCAGGTTAGGCAAATTTGTGACTCTAAATTGCCCATAGGTGTGAACGTGGATAAGCAGGTGACTTTCAGTATTGCTTGTTAGTGCATATTCATAGATAAAAATATTACGATGATGCATAGGACACTGCATTTCAAAAGAATCAAAATGGAAAAGTATGTGTAGTCATAAGAAGAAAAAACTAATAGTTAAGTTTTTTTGTATCCGGTGCATGCCAACAGTCTTCTATCCTATAAGCTTCTGGTATCCATCTGTCTCTTATTTGATTGCTGGAGGTACATTTGACATTTAGAAAGTAATATTTTTGCCTTGCAATGCTTCAACAACAATAAAAGCAATGGTTTTTCTGCTCTGACTTCAACAAATGCCCATCGGTGGTGCCGCAGAGGGTAGAAAGAAGCATTAATGTTTCATTTGCTGTGAATGATTGGCCTCAGCTGTAAACAGGTGGCAGTTACTGTATCTGCTGCCTATAATTGTAGACTTTGTGTAACAAAAAGAAGCACTTAGGAAGGGTTAGATATACAATTCCTGGCCACATTAATTACCACACCTGTACAATTGTATGCACTTGAATGCAAGACTTTCACCTGGACTGCATTATATTCATAAGTGTTCCTATTATTCTGACGCTCCATATAGTTGAATCAATACATTTATGACATTTTCACCAAAAACTGAAACATTTTGAGCTTCATAAACACAGGTGTTAAGGTGGAAGTGCATTGAAGTGCATAAAATTGTACAGGTGTGACTATTAATGTGGCCGGTCAGTGTAATATGTACTGAAAAATCCATGTATGTTGCAATGTAGTTCATGCACATAGCAGGAGCAGGTCCTTGTGAGATTGAGTAGAAAAACAATTTAATTCACCAGTCTGACTGGTAGAATTTAAAAAGGGAAAATTAATGGCCAACACATTTTCCACAGTGAGTATAAAGCAAGAAAAAGTATATGCTTACATTCTCGACTTCCCCTGCTTACATTTTAAGGTTAAAAGAGAAAAACAAGTATGAACATTCTTGGTATAATGATGAGGAACCTTGTTAGTTTAAACACTGCATTTTGGGCTGCATCTAATTATCTGTTAATCTTCTTCAATTTCATTAAACTGGTCATTTAGTCTGTAAAACACTCAAATAATTAAAACTGACTATCGCAGTTTCCCAAAGTCACTACCTTTAAATTTCTTGATTTATTTAACTTTGCTCATTTCAAGTGATATAATGCCCATAAAAGTGAAAAATCCTCACATTTCGGATAGTGGAACATGCAAATTGGAATTTCTACTTCACTCAAATGTGGACTGATTTACTGGTTATTGTACTTAACTTGTACTTTGAACTTGTACTTTGAACTTGTACTTTGAACACAGTCTGACGCCTTCTAGATAAAATGCATTTGTATTGCAGGAGGAATACCTCACTGTGATGAAAGCTGTGTTTATGTAACTACAATATAGGTTTTTTTTTCTCCCCACAACTGCCTCTTTGTCAAACTAATGGTTTCCTTTCCTTTATCCAAGAGTCCTTTGTGGGAGGGAGAGACAGGGAGAAAGTGGCAGTGCTTCAATGAAATCAGTTTCCACAAGCTTAAACTAATTTCTCGTGTGTCAGTTCAGTCAAACACACAGACACAGAACCTTACAGCAATATCTTCTGGAGACAGCTGGGCTGAGGACCTCTGTCTGCAATGAGATTAAATGGTGTGGCTCGCTCCACCCCCTGACTTTCTCTGCAAATGGTACAGTCCATTTAAAAAGGTGCTTGTCATCTCTCAATGCTCTGTGTCCTTTCAACAGTCAGCTGCAGGGAGCACGTTTCACAGGGGCAGTGCTGGCTCTCTAACACACTAACACTCACACTCACTCCCTAATACAAACACAAACACACACACACACTCTCTTTCATGCTGTTACGGAACTCTCAGGCACACACACAGGCATGCTTGCACACTGACAGCACACTCACTACACACACACACACCATCTCCAAAGCGTACATTCCTTGCCAGCAGATACAAATTTCCCCTGAGCCGGATGCCTCTCTTTAAGAGAAAGAACAAATTGCTTTGAGGATTTAACTTTACTTTCCTGTAGAAAAGGAGCAAGAACAG